CAAGAACACCAAGAAATTATTTGAGAGATTATATACAAAGTGAGATTATTTGCTTTCATATCTTGTTTTTAATTGAACTATCTCTGAGGCGTTAAACCATTTAAATCCTAATTTTTTTTATTCAAGAATTCAGTTGGTAGAGGTTATAACTCTAATTTTAGATCTTTTAGGGTTCATGTGCGGGCTCCTACATCCTGCAAGGTTCACATCATTTGGTATTAGAGCTTTGGCTCTAAAATCAAGTTTTTGTTCTTTATCCTTAATTCTTTTCCCAGTTCCAATTCTTCTTGATATGTGTGTGTGTGTGTATGTATAAGGAAATTAAGTTGTGTGTGCCTACCATGTGCGTGAACAGTACATGAACCACACAGTGGGGGGTTTAATGGAACATTGTGGTCCTAAGTAAACCTTAGAAATGTTGTATGAGCATTTTTATTGACCTAGTGAGCCAAGTGTTGATGTTGTATATGGACTTTTTGTTGGGGCTGCCTAGTACAAAAGAGGAAGAGATTCCATATTTGTTGTAGTGGATATGTTTATATGATGGTATATTTCATTCTAGGTCATAAGATGCAACAAACATAGCCGATTTGTTCTTTATAGAGAGTGCGATTCCATGGGATACATAGAAGTATTATGTCTGATAGAGATGTTTAGTTCATTAGCCATATTTGAAAGGTATTGTGGGGATAAGCTTGTAACCAAGCTTCTATTTTCTACTAGTCTCCCAAAAACAAATGAACAAACCTATATAGTTAATAGAATGTCAACTCAACTTTTGCGCACTACAATTAATAAAAATTTGAAACGTTGGGAGGATTGTCTTTCATTTATAGGATTTGTGTATATAGGGCAATGTCTGTAACTTATACGCCTTTTACTAACTTCACTGACTTAATTCCTTGATGATGAAAAAGGTAGTTTAGATGGGAAGGCTAATTGGTAAGGTCAATTTATGAGAAAATTTGACTTCAAATTGAGAATAATGAATATTATGCAATCAAGCTAATAAAGGAAATAAGACGTGTAACATTTGAACCAGAAGATTGGTTTTGGGTGCACATATGAAAAGAACGTTTTTCCAACCCAAAGGTCTAAATTGCATCTTAGAGTAGATGAACCATTCCAAGTACTTGAAAAGGTACTACAATGCCTACAAATTGGACCTCCCATGTGAGTATCATGTGTCTACTACTTTCATAGTTGCTAATCTTTCTTTCTTTGATGTAGGTGAAGGGAAAGCTAGCAAGGATCCTTTTCATGTTCTAGATAGACCCATTATGAGATAAGGGCGAAGAAGATCAAAGAAACCATGCAAAGACATATCCAAGCAACGTGGAACTAGTGTTTAATTACGATAGGCAAGATACCAAAATTAAAGATGGGCATGAAGAATCATAAGTTTAATTGGCAAAATCAACTATACAATATCTGTCCTTTGCTGTTTTACTCAATTTCCTTAAACCAATTATCCCTCTCTATTCCATAACAACAGCCCCAAAAACACCCCCAACATAATATCAAGAAAGTTCATAGGCTCGAGAGATTCACCACATAAGATATTAAGAACCTCAATTATGAACTATTGATGAAAGTTAAAATGGCAATATAAATAGCAAGTTTAGCATGAATCATATTGGCCACAACATAACACCCCAAATAGATGGATAAATTGTAGTTAATAGAACATCAACTCAACTTTTACGTTCTACAATCAATAAGAATTTGAAAATTTTGGGAGGATTGTTTATCATTTATAGAGTTTGGGTGACTGGGTTTGGATGTACAACTAGGGAAAAAAAGGTTTTCCTGCCTAAGGAATATCTAAATTGCATCCTAGAGGAGATGGACTATTACACATCCTTGAAAAATTAGTGACAATACCTGCAAATTAGGCCTTCAAAATGAGTATAATATGTCAGCTACTATTAATTTTGCTGATATTTCTCTATTTGATGCAAGTGTATAGGTGAAGATTCAAGGTCAAATATTTTTGAAGAGGGAAAGAATCACAAGTGTCATGAAGGACCAGCTAGCAATGATCATTTACACGTTTCAGATGGATCATAACAAGATCAAAAGCAAAGAAGATAAAGAAAATCATACAAGGACTTATCTAAGCTACGTGTGCTGAGAGTTCAAGTGCAAAATGCAAGACTCAAGTTTCTAGATGGGCATGCGGTCCATCAATTGATTTTGTTGGAGCTCCTACACCGAATTGAGCAGCCTACAAGAGTAATCTTGAGGAGACAAGAGCTCTTACTAATGCACCTAACATAGTTCATGAAATTAATTAACTTCAAATGAAATCATAGGAAAATTTGTAATATTATATAGAAACAGTTTAACATGTTGAGCATTTGAGATGTGTGCTTGTAGTTTTGAGATAAGAACACTGCTATTCTAGAAAATGTACCTTTTGCATGGGACAATAGCTTTTCTTGGTCATGTTGTTGTTAGGACAAAAGGTATTTAAGTGGATGAAGAGAAGGTAAAAAAAAAAAAAAAATAAATAAAAAAAAATAATAATAATAATAAAAGCCATCTACGAGTGGGCAACGTCAAAAAGCATGCTAAGGTAAGAAACTTTCATGGTTTATCTAATTTTTATTAGGCATCTTATTAAAGATTTTAGTACACTTGCTACACAGTGAAATTGTGAAAAAAAAAGTATTGAATTTCATTGGGACACTGAACAAGAAAACTAATTTAATATTAAAGATATGTTATGTTCTACACCTACTGCAACAGTGTCTAAGTTTAAAAAAACATTTGAGATTGAATATGATGTCTCATGAATAGAAATTATAGTTGTTTTGATGTAGGATAGGTGACCAATAGCTTTTTTCAATGAGAAGTTAAGCAAGATAGCTTTAATTGCATATGAGAAATAGATTAGTACTCTTGTTTGAGCTTTGGAGACATGGTAACACTATTTATGGTCAAAGGAGTTGCACAAGAAGCATGTTGGATCAATGTACATAGTGTTTTCCCTAGGTCATTCAATATAAACATAGTTGCTGATGCATTAACCCGAAGGTATGTATGCCAATGATACAAAATATTTGGATTTGAATATCTTATCTATGCCAATGATACAGATTTTGTTAACAAATATATGGTCTGTGATAAAGAAGCAGTAGATTTATTTTATAGGCGTGATGGTTATAAGCTTAGGGAAAATAAATTGTGTGCCTAATTACCCCATACAGGCGCATGGTGGGGTTTGATAGGACAACATTTTAGTGTTACGAAACCTTTAGAAATGTTACATGAGCACTTTTATTTGTCTAGAATGAGAAAAGATGGTATCCGCCTATTTAGTCGATGCATTACCTATAAAATGGTCAAATCTAATATTTACTACAAGGTTTTGTGCACACATTTACTCCTTTTCTAGTGAGCAATGGGCTGTCTTTGGACTTTGTATTGGGTTGCCTAGGATTAAAAGGGTAGAGACTATATATTCGAAGTAGTGGTAATAGAGTGACATCCTTATTGTATGTAATCCTACAATTGATTCAAACTAAGTAGTTAAATCAATACATAATTTGTAAAGGAGAATAAAACGTAGTAGAATGACATCCTTATTGTATGCAAATTCTATAAATGGAAAAACCCTTTAGTTCCCAACTTTCTAACTTAGTTCCCAACAAGCAGTAGGAAATAAAACTCTCAGTGTGTCCAACTGTTTGTCGCATCATATGTGTTTATGGCATGAAATGAAATGTACCATCTCACTAAAAATATCCAATATCACAAATATAGAATCTATATCCTTTTAGTTAGTCAGCTGCAACACAAAGTTCATAGTCACATCAACCCATGACTCACTAGGAATGGGTAAGGGTGTATACAAACCCTGTGGTAAAACTTAAAATTTGGCCCTTTTACAAATAATGCGAATACCACAAATGCACTTAACATTGTTTTTCATGCTAGATAAATAAAAGTGTTCATGCAACATCTCTAAAGTTCTCATAACACCGAAATGTCTCATCAAACCCCCATCATGTGCTCCACACATTAACAATTCACGCATAGAGCAATAGGAAACATGTAGTTTATTTTCCCTAAAGAAATAACCTTAATTCTTGTAAAATTCATCTACTGCACTTTTATCACTTGACAAGTTAGAAAAAATTGCATCATTGATATACATATCCTTAACATATTCAAATCCAAGCATTTTGGCACTTAAGGCAGTAAGCAGTACATACCTTCAGGATAATGCATTGCCAACAACGTTCTCCTTTGTTTATAACAAATGACATACCTTCAACGCGAGCATAAAATTGGATAATTAATTAAGGCTGCCCCGCTTATCTTCTCACAAAAACAAGGTATTTGTCACCTATCCAACATCAAAACGGCTCAAATTTCTATTCTTCGGGCATCACATTCAATCTCAAAAGTTCTATTAAAGTTAGTTAGTTTTAAGATAGGTGCAAAACACAATTTGTCTTTAATAATGTTAAACGTGGTCTTGTTCAATGCCCCAATAAAATCAAACACTTTTTTCACAATTCGATGAGTGGTTTAGCAAGTGTACTAAAATTTTAAACAAAATGTCTATAAAAATTAGCTAAACAATGAAAGCTTCTTACCTTAGTTATTCTTTTAGATGTTGAAACCTCCTTGAAACCTCCTTCTTGAAACCTCAGTTCTTGTCTCAAAACGACAAGCACATATCTCAAATAATCAACATGCTCATCTAACCTCTTGCTATATACTAGAATATCAAAATAAATGACTACAATGAATGCAAGTAAAATATGGTTCATTAATCTCATAAAAAGTAATAAGTGCATTAGTTTAAATGTAGTTTCCATTCATTCACTATATTACTGAACCATGCAATTCTATAAACATGTCTAGGTATGGGATGATGACACTTTACCATAATATTATTCGCCTACAATCAATGCACATTTTCCACGTTCTATCATACATGGATTCGTGCTCTTCCTCGTGTATCCTTTGTCCATCAACTCCTCAACTTACTTTTGAAGCTCCTTTGTCTTCTTGAAATCACTCCTATAGGCTGGTTGGTTTAGAATAATAGCTCCAGGTACAAATTCAATGTGATGTTCGATGCCTCTAATTGGTGGTATTAGGCATGTCTTCATGGAACACGTCTTCAAATTTCTGCAAAGAAGAAATAGCCAAGCTAGGGAGAGTTGGTTTGTCTCCTCGAGATTAAGGTGGGATTCCTTGTAGACCTACAATATCAAAGGCTGATTTTTGATGAAAGTCCTCTTAATCTCACACTCTTTTGCATAAAAGCACACTTTTGCTTTCCCTTTTGTCTGTATAATCTCTTTATCCCTTTTTTCTTGTGGTTGTACTTTTTTCATTATTTTCAGCCACCTCTATTTTCTCTCTCATTCTCTTTTTCTTTCTTCATGTTTCAGTTTCACTCTTATTTTTCCTCTCTTTCTTTTTCTTTTCTTCTTACTTTTTAACTTCAATGGTCACCATAGACGTGTTTTGGTGTTAAAGGAATAAGAGTAACTGAATTTCCATTTTGGGAAAAGCTGTATTTATTCTTAAACCTAAATCTATTATACTGCCATAGCCTTCCCAACAAAGTACAAATAGGAACTGTATAAATCACCTCATCACCATTCCTCCTAATAGTATATAGCTTACTAGGACTTGATTTTTAACATTGACCTCCCATTCAACCACTGTCTCATATAAGGTTTTGGATGTATAAAATAAGGATTGTATTAGCTACTTTGGTACAACTCTCTCCATCTATAATCATACTATACACCTTGTTGTTAACATAGCATCTACCTTGAAAAATGTTCTCTCTCTGCTCCATATCATCAACCTTGCAACAAGTGCTTGGTTACTCTACCCGATCACCATCACTAGCATCCTCTGACTCGGGTATCTCATTATTGTCATTCTCATCATAAGTTACCACTTCCCATTATCAGGCATAATCTTTGTTTGGGCATTGAGATGCTATATGATCAAAACCCAAGCATTTGATTTCCGGATTCCTAAAAGGTTGGGAATTAGACTAGGGTTNGTTTGGGCATTGAGATGCTATATGATCAAAACCCAAGCATTTGATTTCCGGATTCCTAAAAGGTTGGGAATTAGACTAGGGTTTATTTTTGCTAGCTCATGTAAACCCTAGGCAGTTCGATCTTACTCTTTGAAACAACCCCATCACTATTACTATCCTACTTTGGTATCTAAGGAAGATTACAACCCAAAGAATACTTTACTAATCCTTTTTAATTGTGTTTTGACCTTCATATGCACCATGTCTTCCAACTCAGCATAGTGTTATAACTATACTGCATTGTCTATATCCCTATTTAATCCATTAAAAAACCTATCAACTGTGGCAACCCTATCCTTTCCTCAACATTAGCCCTAATCTTAGCTACCTACATCTCCTTATGATAATCCTCTACATTCCTTAAACCTTGAGTAATGCTCTCTAATTTTTAATAAAATCACATAGGAGCTTTCAATTTACCCAAGGTTTCTATAGGTCTCTCATGATTTCTCCTCCTATTTGTTTAATCAATTGTGGGATAATTGCATAATTAGTAAGTTATCACAATTACTTCACATTTTTCTCCAAAACAGTTATGGCAATCAAAATCAAAGATCAATTCCAACTTCTTGATCCAAATAAACTTCAGGATCAAATACCTTGTAAGGAATGTATTTTCATCCTAATACTAACCAAGTTTCGACCCATTCTATCCCCCATCTCGATATCTAGGTCTCCTCTAGGCCCCCTTTCACTCCTATTTCCTCTATTTCTAATCCTATCCATTTAAGTCAGAAGATTTGGTCATCCTAATTCTCACTCTCTACTTCATTCTCATCATCAGATTCAGCCCTAGGATCATGCCTAACTTGCCTCTTCTTAACGTTACGGACTCTTTTTGGTTATCACGTTTGTAAGTTTGTAATCATTGTATGAAGCCTTTGTAACACGCCCCATCGCCAAGTTGCATAAATTTTATTTATTTTTTATATGTTCTTTAAAGCTGGACATTAATACCCTGAACTGACTTGGTGACTTGAACATGCCACACTACTAACAAAACATATAAATGCGAGTACTTATAAAATCACTATTTATAAAATCAAGTTATCATCCTTCTCGTCTTTCTCTTTAATCACAAATTAATTTGACAATTGAGTGTTAAAATAAGATGATAAATGCAACGGAAATAACAATTTAGAAGTTAGCT